GCTGCCTTGTCTGGCCTCAATAGGACAGGAAGTACCTAGCCTTGAACAGATTTGAAGTGCCAGGGTGGGAGGAGAGATAACCAGGAGGACCCCCACCTGATCAGAGAAGGGGAAGAGGGATGGGGCAAGGATTGTGGGAGGGGGTGACCAGGAAGGAGCAGAGAGTGGGATATAAAGGGAGTAAGTAAAAAATATTAAATTAAAAAAATTAATTTTTAGTAAATATCAACAAGAATATTTGAGAATATATTTTTATATAATATACAAAATATAAAACATCTGTAACCGACGATCCATATCTTTTTCCATTACCAAATTTTAAATATTGAAAATGTGTTGTTTTGCTAATTAAACAACTGCATACAAAACTTAATGCAGTAAATTTCAGTATTTGGAATGTTACTACAGGAAAGTGTTCAACATTTTGTTGAATGGGAGTGCTGAGGAGGCACACAGAGGTTAAGCAACTCTTTTAGGGTTATATATTAAGAATTTTCAATTGAGATTTGAATCAGACACATTTGTTCCTTCACTGAATTATTAGCCAATATTGAGTATCTATTGTGTATCAGATTCTATATAGGAGACGTAGCAATAAGAGGTAAGAGAGGCAGAAGTTCTAGCTCAGGGATCTTTTAGCTTGGAAATGAGAGGATAGTACCAAACATGTAGATCCTTATCTAATGAGCCCATGTTAGTTTAATAAGTACAATGAAGGAAAACCTCAGCCTCCCTCCAGAAGGTTGTAAAAGAAAGACAATCTAATGAATCGAAGGCTGGTGGTGAAGAGCATTTCACTGAGGGTTTCATGCTGAATAAATGAGGCCAAGAACAGGCTGTTATGAACAATACCAACAATAAAATTCCTCAGCATTCTGTAGAAGCCAGGAGGGTTTGGGTCATTTAAGCAACTCAAAGAATGGGAGGGCCCTAGAGCACAGTAAAGAAAGCAAAATGAGGCAGGAGGTTGGAGAGACACAAAAACACAGGGATAAGTGTTAAGGCCATAGCAGAGTTTGGAACACTGAATGAAACTCTTTTGTATGATCCATTATATGCTAATAAAAAAGAACTGTGGGCCACTGAGGAATTCTGAGCTTTCTCCTGCAAGATAGAGAGCAGATGTGAAGGAAAAAGACTGCATTGGGTAGGGTGGGGTAAAGGCTTTAGAAAAAATAGTAGAAATGACGAGAAGCAAATGAATTAAGGATCTAGAACCCAAACAGTAAAATGACACTTTGGCAGATAAAGGACAGGCTTGTGTGATTCACAAGAATGGTAGGATCTTTCTTCCTAGTCTGTAATGAATGTCTTAGGGCTCTTGATAGGGATTGACTGTTACATCTGCAAGTTGATTTTGATACTACAGCCATCCCCACACTATTAATTCTGCCAAACCGTGAGCATGGGAGGTTTCTTTTCTAGTATCTTTCTTTCTCTGATGACTTATATTACAGAGGTTTTCCCTTATTTGGTTTGTTGTACAAATTTTATTATTTTTTATATTATGAATGGGCTTTTTTTTCTGATTTCTTTCTTGGCAATTTATTGGAATATTGCAAAATTCTTGAATTTTATATGTTGATTTTTTAAAAATTTTTTGCTACATTTTTGAAAATGATTAGGAAACTTGAGTTGTCTGATTAAGCCTATCACACAGTGTTTTAAGTGTGAAATCATGTCATATGCAAATACTAATAACTTGAATTCTCTCTTTGTTTTTCTTTTCTTTTTTTTCTTTTTTTTTTTTTGGCTTTATTGCTGCAAAAATTCAGGGAGTGGAATGAGTATGTATGGGTATTCTTCTGGATGTTTGAGATTGCTTTCTAGTTTTCCCATTTAATGAACTCAATGGGTTTGTCATATATCCTTTATTGTGTTAAGGTATGTTTTTCCTATGCCTTGCTTCTTCAGTGGTTTTATCAGGAAGGGATCCTAAACTTTATCAAAGGCTTTTCTCCTTATTAAGACTTAACTGTGTGTTGTGAATTTATGCACTGCAGTCTATTTTTTAAATCCTATCTCTTCATGTGAATATAAAGCTCATCACTGACCAGATACTGTAGAGGTATGAATATGAAAAAACTATACATTTATAAAACCTACTTTATTCTATCTTTGTTTGTTTCTTTTTCAAGACAAGGTTTCTCTGTGTGGACCTAGCTATCCATCCTAGAACTCACTCTGTAGCACAGGCTAGCTTGGAACTCAAGGGATCCACCCACCTCTGCCTCCACAGTGTGGGGATTAAAGGGCTGCATTATCACACCTGGCTCTGTGTATTTTTACAATGAAAAATTCATCGCTCTCTGTATTATTTTTTTGTCCTAGAAGTTTGGTTCATTAAAGAAGATGTTCTTTGACATATTGAAACAATATAGAGACTAGGTACTAAAAGAAATGACAAGAAATATCATTTAGATAACAAAGAGTTTCCATTTTACAAAAATAAAAGCAAGTTCACAGAAATACACCTTTTAGGCTGGTGAGATGACTCACTGGGTAGAGGTGACCATTGCCGAGCTTGAAACACTGAGAATCCACATGATGGAGGGAAAGAACCAACCCCAGCTAGATGCCCTCACCCAAACTAAACAAGTGTAATACATGTAACAAGTTACAAAAAAGTGCAAATTACCACAGTGATCAGTCCTTACTAAATGCATCCACTCCTCACCACACCTTCCAAAGTCCTTACTATTTGAAAAGCAGGGGACAGGCCTTGAGCTGGGAGGCCATTGATTTTGGCCTTATTTAGTTCCATATTTTGCACTAGTTTTTGTAGAGTAACTGCTGGCCTTGTTTGGCCAAACTATAGTCAGAATAACAAGAAGCATGGTTGAAGATGTTTTAGAAGGTTTTGTAGAATGAGGAGAAACTGCGCCCAGAGAGACAAAACACAATTCAGCTATCAAATAAAAGAAACCTTTCGTTCTGTGCCCAATGGGCTCTGAGTTCCTGTTGAAATTTAAGCATGCAAATGTGTGTACCAGGTGAAAGGACACTAACAGGCCAGTTATCTTTTGACACTTTGTAGAAAAGGAAGGGATCCAGCCATGAGTCTACCTTGCAGCATAGAAAACAAGTTTGCCTTACAAAAAATAGTTTCAAAAGGTTCTTTAAAAGGCATTTTAGCCGGGCAGTGGTGGTGCATGCCTTTAACCCCAGCACTTGGGAGGCAGAGGCAGGTGATTTCTGAGTTCGAGGCCAGCCTGGTCTACACAGTGAGTTCCAGGACAGCCAGGGCTACATAGAGAAACCCTGTCTCGAAAAACCAAAAAAAAAAAAAAAAAAAAAAAGCATTTTAATTGGTCCAGCTCTCCATAATAGTGTAAGGGGCATGATTTGGTTTAGACAAAAGGATAGAACACATGCACATGTAGCAGTGCTGAAGAGGCATGAGATCCTGTGGCAAATTGAATTGGAAACATATAATGAGATAAAAATAATTGTTTTAGTTATTTACTGCTTAGTACAAACTTTACTTTTGGTTACCCAGGCTCAGAAAGGTGAACATCACATGCTCTCCCATTAGCAGATCTGCACTTCCGATTTTTACCTAAGTGTATTATGCGGGAGAGAGTGTATGGTAGAGCCGAAGACACTAGAATGGAGTCCTTGAGAAGGGAAACAAGCTTCTTCAGTAGTTGTGAGTAGTAGAAAGTGGCCTAACAAGCCATAAAGCAGCTCCAAGTATTAAAATCAAAATAATTAACTTTTATTTTTTTTTTTCATAATAATTCTGAGGTGTTGTTTTTTTGGGGGAGGAGGTGTCCAAATTTTTTCTAAGCAATCTTTTAGTTGTGAAAATTAGCCAAAAGAGGGTTGAGTTCTCTTCCTATTGAGATGATGTTCATATGGAGTTGGATACAGCAATTTCCACATGGGCACATGGACTGTTGTTCTGAAGACAAAGATGTCAAAATTTTCTGTGATAAAAACTGAGAATGCTATTGTCAATGTATCCTAGGTGAACTTCCCCAGAACACTGGAAACATACAATTCACCATTATACTCTAACATTCTATTGCTTCTACAGTTCTAAGCATTAAGTCCTGGGCATTTTCCACATAATCAAGCATACCAAGGGATACATAGGGCATGTTCGGATGTGTATGGATTAATTGTATCCTGATATCAAACATGGTCATCCAAAACCACCAAAATAACAGCACCTGTGAAGAGAATGTGGCTTCGATAACTGAGAACAGAACAAGCAAGTTAGTTCTAAATGACTCAATTTTACTAGCATTGTAGAAAAACGAAGCATGTTAAGACTAATCTAAAAAACAGAGGTGTAAACATTAGTTTTTACTTTTTCAAGTTGAACAATTATTAAGAACTCTACAGAGTGGTCATATGACCAACACAAAAGCAAAATGACTGCTACCCTAGAATACTTTTTTTCAGGAATAATTCAATAGAACAGAAAAAAACCCTTTGATTAGCAAGGCGTTATAGATGAAAACCAAAGCTATCTATCATGACATAGACTATTTGATCACTTTTTCATTTTTCTTAATATTTTAGTTTGTCGAGATATGCCTTCTTTCCCTACTTCCTTATCTTCCTTAGGTAGCTAGGCCTACACCTAATAAGCATTCAATGAGATGCTATGCTATGCCCATCCTTTCTTCTCAGATACCAGGATGAACTTTTGGATTACTGTCAACCACTTCATCTTTCACAAACATAGAAGTAATATATGCTACAAGAAAAGAGTACTTGTTGACTGTTTGGTTTTTGGTTTGTTTGTTTTGCTTTGAAATTCAGTCCCTCTAATTATGTAGCTCTGACTGTCCTGGAACTCACTATATACACCAGAATGGCCTAGAACCAAGAGATCTGTTTCCTTTTCCTCCTGAGTGCTGTGATTAAAGGCATTTGCCATGCCTGGCAAAGATTCTCATTCATTCATTCATTCATTCATTCATTCATTCATTCACTCTCTTAGGTCTTCTAGAAGAGCAGTGTGTGCTCTTAAATATTAAACCATCTTCTCCAGCCTCTATTGACAGTTTTATTCTTCCATGAAAGATATATTTTTTACCTTTCATTTAAAAGTACATTAATGAATCAGGTATTTAAGTGTAGACACTATAGTATCTGAAAGGATACGACAATATTTTTAATCCTAGATACAGTATTTAATATTTTTCAGTATTTAATTTTTACAAGACTATTACAGGTACATTCATACTAAGATTTTAACTTTGCAATGGCATTGAGAAAACAGTCAAAAAATACTCTGTATTACTTTCATCTCAGTGATACTAAACAGATCAAGAATAGTGGTGATACTTACACCTTGTACAAATGTCAATTAGACTATCAACCATTTTTGACCACATAACCTGTTCATATTAAATCAGACTGTAATTTTTTAAAATGTATCTGAATTACTGACTTGCCTGCTGCAACATACTATCTGAAAAAGGCAACTTTGGGAAGAGTTTCTTTTGGCTCACAATTTGAGTGCATTTATCATGGTCCAGGAAGGCACTGAGGCAGGTGCATGAGGCAGCTGGTTACAGTGCATCTGCTGCTAGGAAGAAGAGTGATGATGATGCTGGGGTTCAGCTTCTTCTATTTGAGTCTAAGATACCAGGTCATAGGATGGTGCTACCATAGTTACCGGTTTTCCCATCTTGAGTAACCTAATCTACATAATCCGTCACTGGTGTGATCACAGAATTACCTCCTAGGTGATTCTAGACTCTGTCAAGTTAACAATATTAACTGTCACACCTCAAAATATGTAGTGTCTAAAAATGAAGAATGAGGTAAAAAATACAGCTTTATATAATGAAGAAAAATCAACATCAGTCAGTAGCTGCTTTACACTTTTTTTTCCTGAAGTAGAGCTTTGAATAGTTCAGATTGGCTTTAAACTCTCTATGTAGCTGAAACTAGCCTTGAGAAGTCCTGACTATCCTGCCTCTGCTTTCTAACTGTTGTGATTACAGGTCTGCATCACCAAAGCTGGTTTACTGTTTAACTATGTGTCCATGCATGAGCACATTTGTATGCATATACATGCATCCAGTATGGTCAATTTGTGGGAACTAGTTCTTTCCTATGTGAGTTTTTGGAATTCATCAGATCATCAGACAGGTTCTCACTAGTCCAATAATATATTTTTGACAAACTAATTAACCAAAATATTCATGCATATTTGTGGGGTGTGATGAATTTGAAACTTCATATTAGTCGAATAAAAGTTATAGTGAACAAAGCAATCAGTGTGACTTCTGACAGACATATTTATCAAAGTGGTGGACCAACACATTCAAACAGTCTAGCCCAGGGGCATCTGTAGTCTGGAAATCCTATTTTGGATTGTGGATAGCTCCTGCCAGGAACAGAACAAACTGTTTTTTGATGTGTTTCCTATTTCTTTGTCATAAAAGAGTAATTGCCATAGATTTGCTTCAAAAAAGTCAAATTAAAGAACAGTTCTGTTGTATTTAAACTTGGCAAGAAACAATAACAGAAAAGAACACAGAGCAACGAATGTGAAAAGAATTTGTTGGGATGGGACCAACATGGAATTTTCCAAATGGATTATGTATCCTAACTGCCCAGAGGTCAGCTTTAATTTCCTGTAGAAGAAATTCATTATGGCCATTCTGTAGACAGGATGCTCCTTCTGAAAGACTGCAATGTTGGTATACTAGGTAGGAAAGGTCAGACATCCTCTCCTCCGGTCCTCTCTCCATGGATTTCTGAGCCCTTTTAGAGGTACGAACCAGTAGAGTACAATACAGACGACAAATCCCAGGGTAACAAAAGACCTAAGATACAGCCACAAAACTGAACAGAGACAATTTGCTTTTGTAAAAAGCTCTGAGATCATAAAGACTGAGGTGACATGTACTGAGATAAGAACGTTTCCTGACCAAGTAAACACATTATCCACATTCAGTTCCATAAGCTGGACCTGAAGTCATTCTTCAACCTTCCAGGAAGTACATTCTAGTTAAGACAGTGTTTTGACGAGAGAGTGTGCAATGGTCCTAGCTCTACCTTTCTGAACCCTGGTACCTTGAAAAGCTTTTTCTAAGGATGCAACAATACCAACCTCAGGCTTGCTCATATGTAAACCTTAGCCCCTTTCCTGCTACTTACTCACTAAGCACGTCCATATTTGCTATGCTTAGTCCAATGACTGCCAGCTGACACCTGTGGAATACTTCCTATAGACTATAACTAACCCTCCCCTCCTTTCCTCATGCCCTCTCTTCCCTTTCCTTTCTTCTCTCTTTTTAACTAGATTTGTGTATGACACGTGTCAGAACACAAATAAGAAGTCAGGAGACAACTAATGGCAGTTGGTTATCTCCTTTCAGCATGTGGGTCTCCAGGGACCCAAAGTCATGAGGCTCGGCAGAAAGAGGTTTTACCTGCTGTGTCTTACTGCAGGCCTCTGGATTTCCTTTTTGAGGTATTTTTACTCCACAGCCCAGGCTGGCCCAGAACTCCCCATGTAGTTGAGCTTAACTCAGAGTAGTTATGGATCCCAGGCTACCGATCATCCTGTTGCAGCTTTTCTTTTGCTTTGATTACAGGGATGCCCAACCATTCCCTGCTGGTTAGAACTATTTCTAGCACACAGTGAGTTAGGTCAAATTTTGGGCCTCAACTTTTAGGGGTCTTAGCTATGTCAACAACTGCAAGCTGTATCATGAATGAAAGGAGGGAAAGTGATGCTAGCTGCTCCCTCCTGTTACCAAAAGTGGAAGAGTCTTGAATCCTTTCAGAATGCATTCAGGCTCTTTGTGACCTCTTTTCCAGTCAAAAAATTTCTATGATGTCTAATCTCTCATGGATCAAAAGGTATGGGAGGGGCAAAAGAGTGCAGTGCTGATTATAACCTTGCTAGAGTGCTCCCAACCCCTGGGGCCTGTACAAACAACTCTTGGGTTTCAATGCTTAATAAAGAATAGTGCCTGCTATTTATTTAAAGAAAATGATTTCTCAAAACAGTCAGCAAGGTCTGAGATCAAAATAATACTTATTTTTAGTACATCTGATGAATTTGTATTTCATAAAACAGACTTTTTTACTGCTTCTTAGAGAAAGACTTTAATCTATGTAGAATTAAAAACTCATTTCTATGTCTCTCTTATAGGCTGCTTTTAGAATGACTTTTGGGCACAGAGACCACTTCCTTCTTTATGAAATGATGGTTGTCTCAGGGACTTACTCAGTTCTTTGGAAAATCAGTATCAGGTACCAATGGAGACAAGAATAAACAAAAACATGTATACCACACAGATGATTATACTTTGTTAAAAGGAAAGTTTATACGCAGCATCCAATATATGTGGCTGAACAAAAAAACTCTGGTCCAAAGTTACCCTTAGCAATGACTAGCAAAGCACAAACCAGGAAGAGTGGATGTAAGTGGCAAAGCATGGGCTATACCAGGTGAGGACAGGAGACCCTCCCAGAGCACACTGGTACAAGAACCTTGTGCTTAAGATCTGCTATTACAGAGAATCCCCAGAATATGCATATTCCCGTTAGTTTCTATTTTTCTTATACTAGTAAGTCAGTCTAGTTACATAAAAGTTTACTTGTATTTAAAGGCTAAAAAGGAGTGTTTAAATTAGCTTCTGAAATAACTGGATGCTTATTTATCTTGTTCTTAAAAAGTAAATGAGAAGACACGAAATTTGACAATTAGATTTCCTCCTTTTACAAGCTGTCTACTGTCTTGCTCATATGTAAACCTCCTTAGCCCTTTTCCTGGTCCTCACTTATTCCTGGTACTCAGGAAGCTGGTAAGCTGAATCTTACAAGCTGTCCACTCACTGTCTTCAAGGTCATGCCCAGAGGCTGACTATTCAGCCACTAACACCCACACTCTCAGCCACTCCACAGCTCCCACCCATCTCATCGCTTCGGTGATCCAGCCCTGCAAACACTAAGACAACACAGGCAGCACTGTCAAGTTTATCTGTACCAAGCAAAGGATACACGCCTTGGTTTCATTTTTCATAAAAAATTTCAATTCAATATAAAGATTTACAAGGGAAATAATACAGTAAAAATTAATATATTTGGCCTATGGCACCATGTTTAACTTCTGTCAATCTAACTAGACTAACATTTCTTCATAAATGCTATAATAAACCAAGCAATCATGAGCAATAAAAAAACTTTAAAATGGCATTAGCCTTGATCAATTGGTCACTTCAATAATTTATTTGTTAATGATAAGAATATTTTCTCAGTAAAATCAAATAATTCTGTAACAGTAAATGATAAGATAGCATTCGATCTACGAAAGTGAACAACATTATCTTGCAATTTCAAGAAAAAGTTCACTGGAAATTCATCAACCTTTTTAATAGAAAACTGTATCCAGTTTTTTTCATATTTCAAACATAAATGTACTTTAATAAAGATAATCCCATTCTTCTATCTCTTTCAATGATTATTACAGTGAAAGGTAACACATGGATTGTGGGTGCCCCTAATGAAATGCTAAGTAGTGTAAATGTAAAGGGAAATCACCTTTTTGACATGAAAGAAAATCAACAGTCACACAAATTCCACATGATTGAAGTAAGTAAAGCATAAAGTATAACATTCCCCATTTCGTGTTTGGCACATATATTAATACATTTTCAAACAGCAAACAATTTAAGACCAATAGATACTAAAACCAACTAGCATAGTAATAAAATCTCTAAAGGTTATGAACATCTTAAATACCTAATTCTCATATATAACTTCTGTTACCAATCATTTCTTCTGTGAGGTTTGAGCTGTTCAAAGCATTATTTCATCCAGGGATTCCCAGAATTCACTAAGTGTCCTACAGAGAATTCATGTTGAATCACACCGTTCCTCTCTAAACTGGTGGATCTTTTGATGGCCTTCATTTATGAAAACACATATATACCCTACTCACAATTTTGAAAAAAATGGAAGGCCTTCATACATGTCACTTTTTAATTTTATCCAATCATTGATCTTCTGAAGAGTTGTTTTTTCTTGACTTAATATTTTTGCAACTTTTTTCATCTTTTGATCATTTCGTTCTATATACTTCAACCCTTCCAGCTGAAGCTGGTCCAGCTTCTCATCTCGGCTTTCATCTAGGGGTATGTTTTCACATATCACAGGATTAAATCTAAAATATGTGTCAGGAGGTAATAGGCCATCAAGCATTATATGGACTTCTGTTGAAACAAAAATAAAAAAAGGCTGGTAAGAAAAGGTGTGAGGTAAGTTATTTTCAAATGATCCATTAATTTTTCTCATTTAAAATTATCTTCATTTCTGGCACAATATAAACACGTTTATTTTACCCACAATAGGTTCAACCTATATCAAAAATGAATCTACAAATTACAATTCACTTTCCAAATACTTCATATATTTTGCTCAATTAGGGATCTTGCTTGACTACTCTCCTTGATGAAATGCCTTCCTTTCCTTTGTTTTTCATTTTCTGGGGGATCATCTTCATAGGGCTATATATTTATGTGTATTAAGATTCATCACTTTTAATTGTGTAATTTGACAAAATTTGGTAAAGGATAAGCATTTGTTTTACTACCATAAGTCATACATATTCCCCTGACCTCCAAAGGTTTCTAAGTCTCCACAGTGAACCATCCCTTACCCTTTATAAAGGACGTCAGACAAACATCCTTTATCATCATGTTAGTTGTCTTGTCCTCCTCTTAAATTAGTCATATATAAACTCCCCAATTAATCAGTAATTGTTTAGAAAGGCTACATAAACTTCCTATTATATTTCAATAACAACTTACTGTAAATTACTCATATATTTTCTTTTTTTTTAAAGATTTATTTATTTATTATATATGAATACACTGTAGCTGTCTTCAGACACACCAGAAGAAGGCGTAAGATCTCATTACAGATGGTTGTGAGCCACCATGTGGTTGCTGGGATTTGAACTCAGGACCTCTGGAAGTGCAGTCAGTGCTCTTAACCACTGAGCCATCTCTCCAGCCCCATATATTTTCAAAGTTACAACACAATTCTTAAATATTTTCAAAGTTAACTGTCACAAACCTCTATATGTGTATCATTAACTATAGCATAAGTACAGTGAGGTAACATTTCACATCTAAAAATTTCAAAAGAGCTTGCCACTGTCTGACGTATAGACTTACACAGTATGAGGCCGGTTCTCTAAAGACTATCTATGGTAGATGAAAGAAATTTTCTACCACAAGAAAGTTGTTTTTGTTCATCACAAATGCAAATTAAAGCCAGAAATTCATAGTATAATGTTCTTAAATGCTCTTATTAAAAAGATAAATGATAAAGACACGTTGCTGAGAAAATGGAAACAGACCACACTGTATTACTGGTAGATATGCAAACTGGTAAAACTACTGTGCAAAATAATACAGTGGTGCTGTACAGAATTATATAACTATCATATATGTGTCACAAATCCCATTCTGGGTATATATTTGAAGAAAATGATATCAGAATCTTGAGAAGATATTTGTCATACCCTGTTCACTGCACTACTCATATCAGTCCAGATATGCATTCCAATATATATTTTACATACAGTAGGATGTTAGCTTAAAGCAGAAAAAACTCCTGTCATCTGCAACATGACAGATGGATTTAAAGGACATCATACTTATGGAAACAAGCTAGATGAAGACAAATAATGCATAATATTTGTATGCAGAACCTAAAGTAGTCAAGCTTAGAGAAAATAAGAGTATAGAATGCTAGCTGTCCCAGAGTTTGGGGATGGGAAAGATATTGGTCAAAGGGTATTAAAAGATAAGAGATAAAGACACATTGCTGAGAAAATGGAAAGAGACCACAATGTATTACTGGTAGATATGCGAACTGGTAAAACTACTATGCAAAATTCAATCATAACAGCTGAAAAAATACTAGTGTTTAAGTATACTAGCTAAGTATGGTAACCATAGTTAATCACACCAGGAAAAGATTCCTTAGCTTGTGTATGGCAATAATTCCAGATTCTACTTAAATTTAAAGAACAAGTTGTATAGCTTTTGTCAGTTTTAACAAAATGAAAAAGATATCTTACTAATTTAGCAAAACTAATTTGGCAAAAACTTTTCAGATAGCAAAAAATCTTGTTTATCATGTTTTTGTCGGTTACCTTTTAAAAGATTAAGGTCCTTAACAGAAAGCAAAGAACCTCACTAAGTTATTGATTTAACTAAAGGTATGTTGTTAAATGTGGAGCTGTTACATGCTACTTTAAGAAATTAATCACCCACTTTAAAATCTAAAAAACAAAGCAGTACGATACAGAGATCTAAACAAAGCTAAGGTTTAAAACTCACTATTCAATAGACACTCACCAAAGGCTTAATATGTGCTAAGAACTGGAATCAACAATAAATCAGATAAGGCAAGATAAGCATTTTTGCACTTTAAGGTCTGAGGATGAATCTCAGGGGCCTCACAAATGCCAGGCAACAACTCTAATACTGAGCTACATTCTCACTTTCTGCCTTATATTCTAATAGCACAGAGAGATATGTGATAAATAAATATATAAAAATACAGCTATAAGAAGAAAATGTGCTTGTAGATGGTGAGGAAGTTGAAGTAGTCTGGAAAGGTCTCTGGACAACAGCCAGTCTGAATGACACAAAAGCCACATGTCTATCTGAGCAGAGAGCCAGCCTTACAGGGACAGTACAGCAATAGCAGAGGTCATGAGGCCCATGAGGTCTTAGAAAGTATGGAGAACAGTAAGGATTAATGTGGTAGATACACCTGAGGGACAAGAGACACAGTCAGGGGTTCAGTTTTATAAGTCTGGTGCTAGTGGAGGAAGGCTTTTGGATTTCGTTCCACAGACAGAAAGCCTAGAGAGCTTTAAGAGGAGGAAGGACAACTGATATTTGAATGGCCCACGTTGGTCTTTTCTAGACTCTACTAAAAGTGCACCAGGAGCAGAAACAAGAAAGTATTCTAATGCCAGGCAACTTCCACATTTGTCAGAATCCAATTCTCTTAATCCTCCAACTGTTTCACAGTTATTATCTGAATATTTAAACCCATCTAACCCTTGTTGCTTTTCTTTTTCTTAACTGGCTAGTCTCCACCTAAGCTTCTGTGCGAAGTCAGCTTTACATACTTCTCTCCGACTAAGCGAGGAGAGTAGTCTCTTCAGGATCACTCAACACAGGGTGAGGAGCTTCTGTGTGCTTTCTATGCTCACAATACAGACCTAAACCACTCACAGTTGAGATCACATTTTACCTAAATCAAAATACTGTACGTTGAAGTATCTGAACAGTAACACAGAAAGACTAACCCTCTGTATCTGTAGCACTGCTGATAACATTAGAGAGCTTGGTCTTCAGGCTTGTGTATGTTGAGGTATTCCTCACATCACTCTCATACCGTCCTGTGCCCAAAGATACTATACACTCGAGTGGGGTATCTGGCCAGATACATTTACATTCATGCAGGGCCAAGGCCGAAGGGTTATTCAGAAGCAAACCTCCATCCTGTAAAACACAAGCCATAAGAGTAGTCAGTTCAGTACTTACTCTAGGGAAAAGCTATCACTGTACTTATGATTGACTTATGACAAGAGGACCCTTTCAAATGAGTTTATTAATATGCCACAACTGCAAAACCCACTCTCTAGAAGAATAAGTTTGAGTTTCCTATTTTGAACAACTTTTTGGATTGCTTTGTGTACGTTACTTAAAAATACTGAAATGAGCCAGGCAGTTGTTTAATTCCACTTTAATCCTAGCACTTGGGAGGCAGAGGCAGGTGGATTTCTGAGGTCGAGGACAGCCCGGTCTACAGAGTAAGTTCCAGGACAGCCAGGGCTACACAGAGAAACCCTGTCTCGAAAAAACAAAAACAAAATAAAACAACAACAACAAAAAAACTGAAATGAACTGAAAATCATTCTCATGTATGTTTATTTATTAATTGTGTATGCATCCACATGAAGGCAAAAGAAAAAGTGCCACGTGGGCCTTGTGATTAAACTCAGGTCACTGGACTTGGAAGTAAGTACCTCTAACCACTAAACCATCTTGCTGATCCCTGAACCAAACAACTTTTAAAGATACTAGAATAGTTAATAGTTAATAAGAACAAAACAATCTCTCACAAGCTCGGTGTAATCAAATTAACTGAAATTTAAACAAAATAATTTTAAGGCATCATATCCACAGTACAGCTATAACCTATAGAAAGTAGGAGAAAGTTTAAACTTCTAAATCAGTGGTTCTTAACAGGTGAGTTATGACCCTTTTGGCGGGAGGGTCTAATGACCCTTTCACAGAGGTCACCTAAGACCACCGGAAAACAGATATTTATGATTCATAACAGTAGCAAAATTATAGTTATAAAGTAGCAAAAAAATAAGTTTATGGTTGCAGTCACTACAACATGAGAAACTATATCAAAGGTCCGCAGCATTAGGAAAGTTGAGAACCTCTATTCTAAGTGTTTATCAGTAGCAACATGATTTTAAAGAATTCAAAAATGTAAAATACCCTGACAGAGTATGTTATAGAAAAAAATTAAATCTCGGTCATTACAACCAAACTTTAACAGAATGAATCATACAATAACATTTAAATCTATTTCATTACTATACTGTATATTGAGCTTAAACTCTAGGGACATACATCTGACTGGAGATATTTTAAGTAACTACTTCTTCCTATATGGCTTCCACATAAATTCCCTTCCAAATGTTTGATTGTTTCCTGTGTGTCACTTAGCTTTTGAGTTTCTAAGAGTACCTCTATGAAGCAAATTTTCTACTTTTGGTAAAGTTTGCTGTACCAGTGACTTTTGTGGATGGATAATAACTTAACTGTTAGGAATCTACTTAACCTTAGATTACAACACTGCTCTTCTAAATGTTTTGCACTTCAATCTACTGAATATTGTTGGTATAATCTGTGAGGTTTTTGTCAAAAGTACCATCCACTAAGTGTTCTTGGTATAAGCTGTGAGGCTTGGAAAGAGTATGGGAGAGACAGAAAGGGGTGCACGCAACAATAGTGATACATTTCAAAGCAATTTGTCAAGAAGAGTATCCTTGGGGCTGTGTAGATGCTTTAGTGGATAGAGTGCCTGCTATCCACGTAACAGAACCTGAGCTCAGATACCAAGACCTATTTGTGGTGGCACACATTGTATTTGTAACCTCAGCACTGGAGGGTAGAGACAGGCAGATTGCTGGAGCTTACTGACCACTCAATCTAGTCAATCGGTAAGCTTTGGGTTCCATGACAGACCTTTTCTCAAGCTGGAGAGCAGAGACACTTAAGTCAACCTCTGATACTCATAGATTGCTCACTTGTACTATACATACAAGTATAGCTTGTTCCACAAAAGTCCTATCCATGTAGTTCATACCCATACAGGTCTACTTCTGGACTCTGCTCTACTTCACACCCAACTCCCCCACCCCCACACACATATTGACCAAACTTCCTCAGATAACAGTCTCATATACACTCACACTAGAAAGCAGAGATACAAAATGCTGGTGATCACTAACAGTTTTATACTTCTGCAATTACAGGGAAAGACGAGGCCATCAGATTCTGAGAAAGGCAATTTGGTTACGTCTTTTCATTGCTTATTCCATTCTACCTTTCATTACGGGCTGTTAGTTGTCACTTTATGGTCTAATTTCTATCTCTTAATTGCTGACCACCACTCTCTTTACTACATGCCTTTGAAGGACTTTGCTGTATGTTTCTATGCTGTGACTTTCATGAGAGGATATTCTTTCAAAATATACCTCTTCTTGTCCATGGTGGTGCGTATCTGTTAGCCTAGCACTCTGGAAGCTGAGAAAGGAGGATTGCTGTGAATTTAAATGCAAACTCAACAACATAGGGCCAGCCAGGGCAACACAGTAAGACCCTCTATTAAAAAATTAATAACAATAGTAAATATTGCATATCAATAGATGTCAACATTTCACACCAGGTCTCTTTCCTTGATGCTGAGTACTGACACTCTGAAACTAAAATTGGTCAAATGAGAAGAACACAACTGGGATAAAAGAGAAAAAACTTTTATCTTGCTTGCTACTTGACTAAAACTCTCCTAAGAGCACTGATACCTGCCCTCTGCCTGCATCCAGGAAAAGGTCAATTTGTATTGAGAAGAGGACAAGAACAGCATAGCTGGTTCTTACTCTGGAGATGTTTACTTTGTTTATAGAGTTAACAGCCTGAATTTTTTAGTGTGTTTCTGAGTGATTTAGTTTAATGCGTATCATTCCTAAAGTCAAAATAGCATGGCAAAGAATAAATAAACAGCAAAATCCTAAATAAAGTCTAAGTACAAATTAAAAGACGTGAGAGCACTTACCTAGCATGAGAGAGGTCCTGGGTTTGAACCCTGCACAAGAGAAAGTGTTCTGTAGGGGGTGGGGGGATTGACTCCCTATTACCAAGTATACTATTTCAGCTCATTTGTGAAAAGCCTAAATAACCATCTATATACTCATGCAAATTAAAAAGCTTATAGGGAATAAACTGAGCCTTGACCTGGTGTAATGGCTCTCTGTAGGTTGGATAACTTGGTTGGCTGCTAAGCTCACTTTCCTCATAGAATCCTTACATTCTCTGCATGTGGCTATCATCTCAATGCACCATACTCGTCCTACAGGCACAGAGTTCTCTATTCTTTCTCACCACCAATAGCAGTCTTATTCTCTTCCTCTATATACCTTAAGCTGTTTCCATATGCTCTAAGAAAAATATTCATGGTTTAAATTCACAGTGTAACCTCACCTTCTCAAAATGCTATTTTTTCTCTGATATCACAAATATGGTGCTCCTCTAATGAATCAACACCAATGCCTCAAGTCTCAGCTTTCTTCTTTTCTTATTCCACCCCCCCCCATTTATTTATTTATTTTAGTTAGTTAGTTTTAAGACTGGATCTCAGTATGCAGAGCTCAGGTTCTCATGATCTTACTGCTTTATCTTCTGAGCTGGCATGGCTACTTCTTTTGTGGTTTCTTTTTAATGTCTTAATTTTACTGTTTTAAATTATGTGTCTATGTGCAGTCAGACGTCCATGGAGGTCAGAGGTATGAGACTTTCTTGGGACTTGAGTTACACGTGGTTGTGAACTTTCTGATGTGGGTGCAGGCAACAAAACTCAAGTCCTCTGGAAGAGCAGTATTCACTCTTAACCACTGAGCTATCACTCCCTGATTAAACCCTTTCTTGAGTTTGTTTTTTGAATTTGACAGGATTTCTTTTTATAATAAATATAGGCAAAATTTAAAGGGTATAACTCATTTGAAGGGTATAATTCAATAGCATTAGCTACCTTTACACTGTCTTATTACTTTTATTTGTGTAACATTTCCAAAAACATTTTCATCCAAACTGTATAATAAGTAAGTATTCCTCATTTCCTGTTTCTAATTGACTATTCATTCTATAGACAACTGAGATGAAAACTTCTTTGTAAAGAATCAACCACATCTATATTATTTATCTATCTTATTAGTGACTTTATCAACTCAGCCTATAAATATTTATGTTGTAGTCTGAGTTATTTGGCCACATTCAGCTATGCCTTTTAAAGGGAGCCATGAATAAAGAAATTAATTCTGTAAGTTCTGTTAATTTTAGAGAACCCTCACTAATACAATGATGTATCGGATTCTTTTTAGTAACTTGGAAGTTAACAACTTAATTTTGGAAGTAGAGATGAAAAAAATGGGACAGAGTAATTCTGTGTGAAAGGTACTAGCTCAAGGTAAATACTATGCTAGTTTATGACAAAGGGGAAGTAACTTAAGCTACTGAGAAAGAATCCCTGCTTTAGTTTGTCATGGGTTTCTATTGCTATGATGAAACACGATGAGCAACAGTAACATGGGAGGAAAGGGAAATTTCCCTTACCCGTTGCAATAAGATTAAAAATTATATAAATTTAAAGAATTTAGTATGAAAATGCTATGTTTTAATGCTATCTTTGGCAACTTCCTAAAAGGGTAAGAAAGAGACAGAAACTAACTTTGCTTCCTTCCAAGTTTTGTTTAAGCAATCAAGAGCACTCATATTTTAGAATAAAATATTATTTTTGAGGGGAAAACTATTTTATTTTTTCCTCGAGATTTACAAAAAGACACTATAAAAGTATTTACTTAAGTTGGGTCTAAAATTACAGATGCCATTTGTATAAATAAGCATTCCCCATTTCCTTTTATCTAATTGACCATTCATTTAAACAATAAAAGTTTCTTGAATTATAGAATTTTTGACTTACGTGAAAACACGAAGAAATCCCTTTGTTAATCCTTATGAAGTTTAGTAACAATAAGTAAATTTTGACTTAAAAAAAAAATCTTTGAGAGCTGGTGAGATGGTTCAGCAGTTAAGAGCACCAACTGCTCTTCAGGATCTCATGAGTTCAAATCCCAGAAACCACAAGGTGGCTCACAACCATCTGTAATGAGTAATGAGATCTGATGCCCTCATATGGGTGTCTGAAGACACCTATATTACTTGGGGCCAGAGCAAGCAGGGCCGGGGTGGGAGCAGAGCAAGCAGATGGGGGAGTGCGTGGTGGGGGGTAAGAGAGCCAGGTCATCGCAAGACAGAGAAAGGGAAGGGAGGGGAAATCTTTGAAAAGTAAAGTTTTTTTTTAAGATTTTAATATAATTATTTCATTTCTTCCTTCCCATTCCTCTGTCAAAACCCTCCCATATAACCAACCGTCTTTGCTTTAATGCTGATTGAAGAGTTTAAAGACAGCCACGCAAGTCAACTTACTTGATGAAGATCGTTCCCCAGCGCATATTCTGCAAAGTAGCCTGGAGCAGCTGATGAGGCTCTAATGGCCTGCCACATTTTATACTGACAGCCTCCTAAATAGTGAGAGGTGGTGCCAGGAAAATGACCATAGTTTCTGAACACAAAAGCTTTTGGTGTTTGTCCTCTGTTTACTATGGTACTTATAGCAGCTACCTAGAGAGTTAAAAAGTAGGCAAAAAAATATGACTATTAATCACAATATCTAGATTCTTTAAAAAGTTAATTAATTTAATTAATAATAAATTAAAACTTAATTAATAATAGTTAATTAACTATTTTAACTAGTTAACTAGTTTAACTAGTTAATTAAATAATAAATTAAAACTTAATTTATTATTAATTTGTTAAATGCAAGGAGCCTCATTCTGTAGTCCTACTTGGCTTAAAACTCATCAGATAACCTACACTGGCCTCAAACTTGTGCAATTCTCCTGGTTAAATCTCCTAGGTGCTAAAATTACAGCGTGAACTGCCATAGCCAGCTGAATACAATTTAGTGATATATATACACACACAAGACTAACAAGAATAATGTATTAAACCAAAATACTAATAGAAAACTACATGTCTGCTATAGGAGAAGGAAAAGATTAAAAAAAGGTACAAGGTTTGACACAAGTTTGAGATATATTAGATGAGAACAACAGAAGATGTATTCGAATACATGATTTTATTTAAGAAGATTCAGAAAGATGCACATTTCTAAAGTCATAACTGATATAACAGTGTTGACAATTTATTCTTAAAGTTAAACAAATGCAGAAGTTTGAATGTAATTTACAAAAAAATTTTCATGTGCTTTGAAAATATTTTATTTTGAGATTCCATCTTACATTTACCACAATGGCTAAGATCAATAACACAAGTGACACTCACACTTGCAAAGATGTGGACTAAGGAGAACATTCCATTGCTGCTGGGAGTGCAGACTAGTACAGCCACTATGCAAACTAGTGTGGAGATTGCTCAGAAAATTGGGGCTCCATCTACCTCAGGACTCAGCAACACCACTCTTGAACATACACCAAAAGGATGTTTCATACTACCACAAGGATACCTGTTCAACCATGTTCACTGCTACTCTATTATAACAGCCAGAAACTAGAAACTACCATGCTATCCACAATGCTTGGCTGAGCCCAGATAATACTCGCCATCCCGCGATACCCGATAGAATGAAGACTCTTAATACTTAATGGTTATCCAACTGGTACATATATTTGGAAATGCTCAATTAACAAGATGCCCACACAATTAGAACTGTTAACCCAATTAACTAACCTAGATATGAATAACTACCTGAGACTGCTAAACACACATGATCGTCTCCAGCCATCTTCTTTCCAGCTCCACTCTCCCTGTCCCCTCGCTCCTCCTCTTTTCCTCTTCTTCTCCTTCCCTTCTTCGCTCCTCCCACATTAGCTCCTCCCCAATCGCTCCAACGTAAACAATGTAGCAGCAGAAGGAAGCCATCCTGTTACACTCTACTATACTCATAGATCCATGCCTTATTCAGTCTTCAGCAGAGAGGCTTCCTCCTGCAGGAGACAGGAGGCCCATAGCCAGGCATTATGTAGACAGTGAGAGTCCTTAGAACACACAGCTCTAAACGGGATGTCTCCATCAAATCCCTTGCCTTAGAGCTCAGGCAACCCCTCAAAAGAGGAGACACATTGGAACAAGTTCACGAATGAAGCTGTGTGAGGGGATTTCTGAGACCTTGTAAGAAAACTCCAGGAAAATAAGACAAAAGTCTTGTAATCGCCGTTCTTAGAAGGTGCTCTTCCCAGGTGTAATGGATATGATAGTTTACTTCAGATTACTCATTACAAGTGGGTATTCATTATTTGTTTATGTCTGTATGGGAAAACATGTTTTCACTTGCAGCTTATCCTTAGGATTATAGACAGCTTGAACTCATGAAAACTTTACTCAGGTGACTTTCATAACCCTTTCATAACCCTTTGATGCTCTGAATAAAGATGGTTCTTGAGTGAGACTTTATTCTATTGCATTTACTGGCTCCATTCTTCCAGGTCTTACCACCAACTAGAGCAGCAAACTGAGGTGGAAAAATATAAGAGCCAGAGAGGATGGAGCTTACTAGGAGAATAAGACCCTATGGAATCAACTGAGCAAAGCTCATATAAACTCAGAGGCTGAAGCAAGAAGCAGAGGTCCTGCACAGGTCTACACAGGGTCCTCTGCATATACATTATAGCTTTCAGTTTAGTATTTTATTTTCATGGGACTCCTTTTAAGTTCCTGAACAAGTGGGTCTCAAATTTCTATGCCTACTCTTGGGGCACTTTTCCTTCTGTTGAGATGCCTTGTTCATTCGCAACCTGATGGACTTTGCTTTGTCTTACTATATTTTATTTTGTCATGCCTGGCTGTTTTCTCTTAGAAGCGTGATCTTTTCTAATGAGACATAAAGGAAATGAATCTGAAGAGAAGGTGAGATGGAAAGAAACAGGGAACGGAGGGAGGGAAAATTATAGTCAAGATATATTATATGAGAAAAGAGTCTATTTTCAATTTTTAAAAAATGGGGGAAAATATAATGATTTTAGTAAAGTCACAGCAGAGTCCTGAACAAATTCTCAAAGCCTTCAAAGGACAGGCCTAGGTTTTTCTGTCCTGTGTCAAACCCAGTCAGGGACCTGTTTGTTTTGTCATTTAATAAACAAAGGTCCTATCCCATATACAGTAACCAAACCCAAACACTATTGTGGATGCCAAGAAGCGCTTGCTGGCAGAACCTGATATAGCTGTCTCCTGAAAGACTCTGCCCGAACCTGACAAATACAGAGGCGAATGCTCACAGCCAACCACTGGACTTAGCACGGGGTCTCCAATGGAGGATTTAGAGAACTGACTGAAGGAACTAAAGGGGTTTGCAACCCCATAGGAAGAAGAATAATATCAACCAGATCCCCAAGGGCTCCCAGGGACTAAACCACCAACCAAGGAGTACTCATGGAGGGACCCATGGCTCCAGCTGCATATGTAGCAGAGGATGGCCTTGTCTGGCATCAGTGGGAGGAGAGGCCCTTAGTCCTGTGAAGGCTCGATGCCCTGGTGTAGGGGAATTTGAGGGCAGGAGGCAGGAGTGGTTGGGTGGGTGGGGGAACACCTTCATAGAATCAGGGAGTGGGGATGGGATAGGCGGTTTCAGGGTGGGGGACTGGGAAAGAGGATAACATTTGAAATGTAAATAAAGAAAATAGCCAATTGAAAAAAAGTGAAGAAAAAAATAAACAAAGGTCCTATACTAGATTTCTGGAATTCATGACTCTTGTCATCTATGGATAACAGCTGGCCATCCACTAAAATCCAGAGGGTCTTTCTATAACTGAGATAGAGAAAAAAAGAGGATTATGAATCCTATGGGCAGCTGCCTGCTCTACTTCAACAAAAAACCTTTGCAAATGGCTCAAGACTTCCCGTGCACATCTATTCTTTTACTCAAAGTTAACAACTTCTCATAATTTGGAAGCAAGTATTTAAACAAAAACAGAGGCCAGTAATCCAGAAGAACACACAAAAGGGGTAGATAGGGCACATCCTGGGATTCTCTCCCAAGGAATGAAGTCATCTCTTTGTCATGGCCTTCAAGGGCAGTGTGATCTAATCTGCCTACTGTTCCAGTATCATCCCACATGCTGCCCTCAGATCCTTGAGCCCCAGTCTTTGGGAAAGCTTACAGTTCCTGGAATTCTCTTTGAGCCCTGCATAGAGCACTCTCTTTGTCCCTTTGCCAGGAGTGCTCCTACTTACTAGCTTTCACAATGAGGTCTCACAAAGTAGTCTTCCTTACATCCCTTGAAATGTATGCTTTCAGAGAACTGCGTGTATGTTCCAGAGCATACATTTCAGGACTACTTCATTTGTGAGATTATTTACTTAATAATCATATTAAGTAGATAATTCACAGCCCTGTGGTCCCATGTAAGTGTCTAGCTTACTTTACTATTTTAACATAATACAGTATTATCAGAAATAAACAACTAAAGATTAACAAATACAGTATACTTACAAATCATTTCTATACACTTTGAAAACACTGTGATTCTTGTAAAGCTACAGCATTATTATGCACAAATTCAGTGCTGTCACAAAGGTATACATAGCAGTCACAAAAATGAAGGTATAAACGTAATGAAGTTATAAAGACCAGCAGAGGGAGTGCTATCTTGATTTTGCATCCTTTTAGCTTGCCATTTAAGAGTAAATACAAGCTATGTGGGATTTCTAGGCACGTCAATTATAATCCTCAAGCAAACAACTATTGTTAAATGCAAGCTAAAACAAGATTGTGAGGTTTCAAACAAATGAAATGAACAACATAGAGGCATATCTAAATGACTCAATTTTTAAAAATTAGGATTCCATTTGTACATTAATATCATCCTGTTGATTTTACATATTATATAAAACTTCTTTTTGAAGATCTAAGATAGAAAATACTTTAATTTTCCTTAAATCACTAGATTTTGTTAAAATAATTATGATTAAATATTCTATATTTTCAGTCCAAATTCATTGTTTAAAACTTTTATTACTTTTACTACAAACAATCTAATAATTGCATACTGTATTTTAATAGAATGACCTAATAGATAAGAAATCAAGAACATCTATTATAAGAAGTTCCCAAGAATGCTTCTCACAATACATGTTTTTCCTGCACTCTGTGATGCTCTGCCTGGGAGATCTCACCCACCTTAGGACATGCTGGGTCTCTCGCTGTTTCAATCATCAATGCAGATCCAATCCTATCCCTTTAGTAAACAAGAACACATTGAGTTATAGCAAAATTACTTTATCTCTTAATAATCAAGGACTATGCACGTGCCTGTAGCTGTGTAATTGGTATGTGTAAGTCGAATCAACACTTTCCAAAGATACCTTTGTTCACGCTGCTTTATCATAACAATAAAAACCAAACTAGGATATATTTCTCCATTAAAAATTACATTAAAGAGAAAATATGAATAAATAAAGTATGTTCTTTAAAAATGAATTCTGGATCCGTTAGATGGCTCAGTATAAGCCTGCCTGCTGTCAAGTGTCATGAGTTCCTTTGTAGGAACCCACATGTTAGAGAGAACAGTGTGGTTCAAATATACACACACAGAGATATACACATACAATAAATAAATGTGAAAAAACAACTGAATATACTTTTCAATATACAGTTAATATATTCACAATATGATGAGGGCTGCCCTGATATGAAAATGAGCAAACGATCATATCCATAAAATTCACAAAAAGAACGTTAAAAAAATATTCAAAAGGTTGATGGTCACTAAAAATCCTTTAAACTCATGTATTTTAAAAATAAAACCATTTAGTTTTATAAAATAGAAATAATACAGTTTGGTACTGAAGATGAGTAAACCAGGATCTTATTTAAAAAAAAAAAACCAATTCGGGGCTGGAGAGATGGCTCAGTTGTTAAGAGCACTGACTGCACTTCCAGAGGTCCTGAGTTCAAATCCCAGCAACCACATGGTGGCTCACAACCATCTGTAATGAGATCTGATGCCCTCTTCTTGTGTGTCTGAAGACAGCTACAGTGTATTCATATATAATTAATAAATAAATCTTTAAAAAAAAACAATTCAGTATATACACACATATATCTCAAGACTTTTATTTGAGAATTTCATACATGTGTCAATGTACTTGGACCAAATCTACTTGCCCTCCAGTCCTTCCCTCTCCCACTCACCACTTTCCCCTCCCAAATTCATGTGCTCTTTTATTCTCAAAACTTTCAAAATATGTGTAACATTTCTGACAGAGTTTAATTTCCAGGATTTTCCTTTAAAGATATCAGCAGATTTAAGTTGACATATGAGATGTTCATGTCCATTTATAAACTACAAAAATAAGACATCATAAGTGTTCTTTTCTAATAGAAAATGTTAAACCAAAGAAGTGCAAGATGTGTACATTATGATCTCCACTGGAGGGACACACATGCACACAAGCAAACAGTTGTTTGGCTATACGTCCTAAAGGGGAATGTTAAATGTTTTTATTCTTAGTGGGATTATGTTATTTTCAGTGTTTTCTTTAATGTTTCATTATTTTAAAAAGACAGCATTTGAAGAAATGTGCATTTTCTATAAATGAACAAGATTGATATATTCTGAAATTCTGGCAGAAGTTTAAAGTTTTCTACCGTAGCTAATCCTAATCACAAAAGGAAGAAAAATATACATTTTATGTGTTCATAAACATCCTAGGTAGAAATTCTTAAGAAAATATGATACCACCCCACTCTGGAATGTAGTGTAGTCTTTCAAAAGAGTGACTAGTTTTAATAAATTTCAAATTTAGTAAACTTGAAACTTCAGTTGTATAAAATAGATGAGAAAAACCAGAATTTGCTAAGGAGATGTCTCACTGAGGCATGAGGACTGGAGTTTGCATCTCAGAACTCACACAGAAAGCTGAGCATGTGTTTGTAGATCTGGCAATGGTGACATGAGAGAGGTAGAGACAGGTAGATCCCTGGACCTTCATGGTCATTCAGCCTAGCCTAGTGGCTAAGCTCCAACCCAGTGAAAGGATCCTGTCTCCAACAAATGGTGGATGGTGCCTGAGTAAAGACATTGGAGGCTGATCTCTGGCCTGAATACATGTATGTATACATGTGCCCACACATGTGCACCCCCCATCCAAACAGTCATCCACAATCCACACAAACACAAATTTAATAAAAAAAAAAACCTAAATATATTACAGATTACACAGCTTTCAATAATAAATTTGGGGTGATTTAAATTTCTACTTGCCACTTCTAGTTTTGATTTTATTGCAATATCCTAGTATTGATTTTATTCTGGAAGTAAATTTTAATGTTACAGGCTGTTTCAGATTAATGACCTGAGAATAGATTTTAAGATATCAAAAAACCAGTAATCTATGTATAATATGACCTCATTCATGTTGACATATATATATATATATATCTCAACTACCATAAGCTCAGGAGGGGATTCCACCTGTGAAATTCCTTTCCACAAGCATGAAGACCTGAGTTCGGGTCCCCAGAACCCATGGCATGGTGGTATGGGCCTGTGATTCTAACATTGGGGAAGTGGTGCAGGAGGATCCTTGGGGCTTGTTTACTGTCAGTCTAGGTAAACTGACAACCTCTAGGTTTTTGAAAGACCCAGCCTCAAAAACTAAGTAGGACTGGAAAGATGGCTCAGTGGGTAACGGCACCTGTTTCACAAGTCTGGCAGCCCGACTTCAATCCCTAGACTACATGAAAAGGTTGAAGACTGATTCCACAATGTTGTCCTCTGGCCTCCACATACATGCCATAGTATATTCATGTGGTAGTCTGAGTATGTTTGCCCCATGGGAAGTGGCACTATTAAGAGTCATGGCCTTATTGGAAGAAGTGTATCACTATGGAGGTAGGGCTTTGAGGTCTCAAATACATGCTCTTGTCTGGCCAATATGATCCAGAGCCTCCTCCAGCTTCCTGCAGGAGACAAGAGTCTCCTTCTGGCTGCCTTCAGATCAAACTGTAGAACTCTCAACAACTCCAGCACTATGCCTGCAGTCTGCCATATTTCCTGCCATGATGATAATCGACTGAACCTCTGAAACTGTAAGTTAGCCCCAATCAAATATTTTCTCTTATAAGAATTACCTTGGTCAGTGTCTCTTCACAGCAGTAAAACCCTAACTAAGACAATGTATGCACACACATCATACACACAATAATAGATAAACAAAAAATAAAATAAAGAGTGATTAAGGAGGACACCTAACATCTCTGGATATGCATGCATTCCACTTGCATGTACATGGATGCCCACACATATAAACACACACAGAGATGAACATATGAACATATATACTCTCACACAAACCAAAACAATTATAATTTCTACACACAAATCTTACAAACACAAAATCAGGATCTGTCACTAGAACATAACTCACCAAAAAAGTAATAGTGGTTATTTCCAATTCAATGGGAATATTATTCTTTGTATTTTCTATAGTTTTTAAACTTTAATATGTATAAACAACTATATACCCAAAATATTTTAAAAGGGATTGAAACTTACTTAAGGATCTTTTCCCATGTGTGACTGTCATAAAATGCATGGCTCCAACTCATTTTGACGGTCCCAACAATGACATTCTGTGTGAACACATCTGCGCCCAACTTTCTATAGAGTTCCTCACATTCATCCAGTGGCATGTGAAACAATCCCAGCATAAACGCTAATATGGCCCCTGAAAAGAACATTTGTAGTCTTTATCATTAACGATGTGACTGCTCTTAAAATTTACACATCTCTGAGACAAGCAGCTCATGAAATTATAGCTCTGATAACTTTCTAACTGAACTTGAGACAAAGCAATTCTCAGAGTCCCAAGTTTCTCCATCTGTGAAATGGGTATAAATTTTCCACTAAATTAAATTATATGTAAGATGTCATGGGAAGTAAAACTATGTTTTACTTAAATACAGTGTAAATTGGTGGGACACACTGCCACCTAGTGGCTCTACTTGCCAAACTCCTACTAAAGAGGAAAATAGGGTGGTAGGGGATGAGGAGTCAGCAAGACAGGCAAAGACCTACTTAACTACTTAAGCTGTAAAGAAATAAACAATGTAGTTTAAATGTTTTTTAATTTTTAAAGTTTTTATCATGTGTACCTGTGTGCAGGAAAGAGCACTGGATTTTCTGGAGCTGGAGTTACAGATAGATGTGAATTGAACCCAGTTGTGAAGAAATTCAGACAGTGTTCTCTTAATCCCCAAGCCATTTCTCCAGCCCCCAAAAGTGTATTGTAATTGGTATCATTCCAGTAAAAGATTAAATAACTGAAAACTTAAAAACGCAATATTATGGATTAAATTATATAAAAATATTTTTAATTTGGAGAATAATCCTAATAAACAAATTATTTGCTAAAAAAAAAATGCCTTTTTGGGGGACAGGTGATGGTGGGGAGTGGGTCTCTCTGTGTAGTGGAAAGAAATGTTACAGACACTGAAACCTACATGTTACACAACATCATGATTGACTGGTTTGTGAGGCTCTACTACAGAAGTCACTTAACAAGAAGCTGCCATTAGAAGTTTCAACTGCCAGGACCACTCCAAATTTAACAGAAATAGGAAAAGTAATGTTTCAAAACAAAAACCCCAGAAATAATAATATCCTTAGGATGTCTCTTTGACAAGTATTTAGAGTCAAATCACCTTTTCTTCTTTTTTTAATACTACTTTCATCGATCATTCTATAGTTGATCACCTTTTCTTATTTTAAGAGTCACAATAGATTCTAATATATTAAAATAACTCTACAGAGCTCAAGTAGGCCTAGAACTCTAAAATCCATCCCTCCCCAGCATCTAGAGTGCTGAGATTAAACACATGTGCCACCATGCCTAGCTGCTTCCTGCCTCTTTGTTTACAGTAATTTTGCAGCTCTCTGCCTATCTGGAGGTATATCTCATTTTTCTATTTTGTGAACCTGAACTGAACTTGAGGTTGCTTTTTCCCCCATACATATACCAACTAACAAAATTTAAAAAGTAGCTATTTAAAACCAAAGACACATTTGCCACTTTAAGTTCTAGTTTCAAAACATCATATAAATAATATAGAAAAAACTTACTCATTGCTATTCCTTACAAATAGAACTGTTAGCACCTTTAATTTCCTATTAGCTCAAGAGCCATCTGACCACCTACCACTGTGTCCTTCTACCACCATACCCTTACAAGTGACTATGCCCAAAATCAGGAATCAGTAATTATTCCTTGCCAATGCAACTGGTTGAAAATATAATAAAAATAAGTCATTTTTAAATGCTTAATCTTAAAAAGCTGCATACTTATACTATAATCAGTTTTTAAAGTTCATTATACGAGTGATTAATCATCATTAAAGTTGTGAAATTACTGTCCATCGTTTCAGAGAAGGTCTATGATCTCAAACCTGTCCTGTATGTTCTTGGTCTATGATCCACTGATGGCACATACCCATGCACGTGACAATAATTACCTGTGCTTACACCGCAGATGTAATCAAAAAGCTGATGAATCGGCTTTTGAGTAAGTTCAACCAACTTCCGCAGAGTCTGAAGAGCAACCACACCTCTGTGAAACAGAAAAAAAATTGGTAATTTCTGTTTCAAAGGAAATTCAAGGTAAAGAAAAAACCAATTCTATTTTTTTTTTGTTTTTTTTTGTTTTTTTTTTGTTATTTTTGTTTTTGTTTTTCGAGACAGTGCTTTTCTGTGTAGCCCTGGCTGTCCTGGAATTCACTCTGTAGACCAGGCTAGCCTCAAACTCTCGAACTCAGAAATCCGCCTGCCTCTGCCTCCCAAGTGCTGGGATTAAAGGCGTGTGCCACCACCGCCTGGCGAAAAAACCAATTCTAGAAACTTTTACAGCTTATACACTGATATGATAACAGTTCAAACTAGCACCAATAAAAATCATCTGACCAAATTTTAGAAACACTTCAAAATACTAACACAAAGCCCGTGCAATGAAAATATACTTATACATTTGTAGTATTGTTTTTAAGTAATATAAAGATATGACAATATTAGATACATTTTAAAAACCCCAATTCTGTAAAACACTTAAAATACCATCCTCAGTAGTTCTGAGAGACTATAAACTATTTTCTTCCTTTATTAATATAGCTGGTCACCTATAACTCCATGTATTTGTATTTGTATTTATGTTTCGCTGGTCAGATTTTCAACCTACCTTCTTTAGTTTTGTATTCAATTTTTGAAACAATAAACTTACAATCATCTCTACATTAAGAGTGTATGAGTTAATATTACTGATGCGCCGTTCATTTCTGGATCTTTACTAAAGGTAGTAAATACTCTTGAGCTAATAGTAAATAGCTTTACTATTACTAAATGAGAATGGGAAATGTAAAAGCTGCCTAGGAGATTTCAGCTGACTTAGGATACATCACATATGTTGACAATTCCGAAACAATGACAAGTTCAATTCTCAATACATGATGAGGGGTAGGTCAGTACTACAAGACAATGAAGAGTTTCAAATTGTACCTTGATGGGGCTAATGGAGGTTATTAAAAAATATCTAGACTGTAGTAGGGCACCAAATGTTGGCTTTTGCTTGCTTGCTTGCTTGCTTCATTTTCTTTTGAGATATAGGCTCACTATATAGTTTTGGGTGACCTTGAAGTCAGAGAGATGCCCCTGCCTCTGCCTCTCAAGTGCTGGAACTAAAGGTACTGCACTACTACACTCAACATGATGGGTTTTTTTAAGCTGAGGTAGGTAATGTGTATTTCAGGAGCTGTGAAACAATGGCTTAGAAGAGAGCTGCTATAATTCCAGGTAAGACATGAAGAATTAAACATGGTGCTATTAAAATAGATTTAACAATATGGCATCTATTACCTTTTGCAAAGGAATTAAATATGAATGCATACACCCACAAGAAAAGTACTTGAAGAAAATGAATCTAAATATTAAAATTTTGATTTATAGATTGTGTTTTCTCTGTCCTTCTAAAACTTTTCTAAGTACATATACAAATGGAGAACATAATTTTACTTAAAGAAACCAATAAAGAATACTTTAAAATGAATTCAGAATTAATAATATACAGTAACTTGTTAAGTTGCTAGTGTATGCCTAGCACTATGTAACTAGTACTTCTTACACATACAGAATAAAAGACATAATTCTTGGTCTAGGTGTGAGGGCACATGTCTATAATTCCAGCACCTGGGAGACTGAGGCATAGCTACATAGACAGTTGCAAGACCACCAGGGTTGTAGTGAGACCGTGCTTCAAAAAACAAAACAAATCAAAACAGTATGTTGGCTCTTTTACAATCCCTTGCATCATAGTGCTTCAATACAAACCTCCTTCCTGGTTAGTTTCCCTTACTTTCCTAAAACCAAGTTCCTCTATTGCAGAATGAGGGACTCTGTGGGTCAGCTAACACTGCTCTGGGGCACCTAGAATGACATGTTAGAATGCATGTAGAATGACAGTTCTTCAGTGACAATCAGAATGATCTCCAGACACTGCCAATGGAGGATTGCTTATCTACCTTTCATCCACACACTCCTAGATCTTTCCATTATATATTCACTAATTTCATCTCTGTGTGACTCATGAAATGCTTAAAGATTAAGCACTTATAAAAATGGCTTTTTAAATCCATACAAGTATACAATGCATTTTGATCATCCTCCCTTCTTCCTCCAGCCCCTCCCAGAAACCCCCTCTACACCTTCTTCCCTATTTTATTTTCAATATCTCTCTCTCTCTCTCTCTCTCTCTCTCTCTCTCTCTCTCTCTCTCTCTCTCTCGCTCACACACACACACACACACACACACACACACACACACACACACACTCATCAGTGCTGTCCTTACATGCATGGATGCAGGGTCACCCAATGGAGTGTATGAGAGAGGCCATACCACCAAAGAAAACTTATACTCCCATCTCTGGCAGCCATTAATTGCTGATAGTTCTCAGGGAGGGGTAGGTCTCACTCAGGAGCCCTTCCTTCATGGAAGTCTGACTGTGGCTTCATTTTGGGCAGTATTTTGAGCTGACAACTAGAGCTACTGTGAGTTCATGAGTACAATAACCCTGTCTTGTTCAGAAGACACAATTTTGTAGCACTTCTCTCCAACTTCTGACTCCTATAACTACTGCCCTCTCTTCAAGATGTTCTCTCAGCATTAGAGAAGGAAGTGGGATGTGGACATTCCTTTAGGAAAGAGTATGGTCACATATTCTCTGTACTTTCACTGGTTGTGTATCCCTATACTAACTGCAGTCCACGGCACAAAGAAGTGTCTCTGTCATAGGCTGAACATTTCACTGATCTACAAGTATTTAGAAGGCAGTTTGATACTATTTGCATTCAGGAGAATAGTAGATTCTACCCTGGGGCCTATGGCCTCCTTAGTCATTGGTTCTTTTTGCCCTTCCCAGCCTTGAGCAGTCTGAACAGACCTTGTCTGCCACGCAGGACCTTAACACCTAGGTGAATTCTGCTGCTTTGTTTACACTTGGAACTTCATGCAAGAACTTTGAAGAAGAGACTGCCTTCTGAACCTGCCTTGCAACTGAAACAAAGGATGGGCTCGGGTAGGGTGGGCTTTCCCTATATATACAAGAGCTGAATATTTTGAGCCTTGATCAGAAAACTTTGTCTTGGCTTCATGCTTCTCTCACTTCTCCGTCCTTTTTCATTTCCAGACCCCCTTTCAGGTGGATCAAGTTCCTCTGTGGCCACAGGCGGCTATAATTCTTAGGTTTACAGTACCAGACATGAATTTTCTCCTGTGTAAAAAACCTATAGCCTAATCAGAAAGCTGCTGGCCAGTGCACCAATGTGCATATCCTGCTACTGACCTAAAGATCCAAAACTAGGGGACACACTCCCCAGAAACACTCACGGATGGGATTTGCTGCAATAACATGAGGTTTATTGATAAATTGATAATAACCAGTACACTGGGGTTCCCTTGCATGCAGGCAAGCAGAACTCCGAACTAAAGCTAAGGGCAGTTTATATACTATTTTTACAGAATTCACAAGGACAGTTAATTACTTTTTAAACAATAACCATATAGAGGATTTCAAACAGCCTTTCCCAGGCCCGGTTTCTAAGTAACTCAAATTTGCACCTTATCTTTATAACAAAGAGGGTCAGCTTAAGTGGCTTCTGTTTACCCAGTTGTACTGTGTTAAGGGCTCATCTCCCTGATAAACTCTTATCTTGGGTCCTTTTTCCTGCAAGGTTTGTTTGAGTCTTTGGAATGTGCTTCTCCCGGGATATGCCTCGGAGGCAGCTGAAACTGGTTGACCTCCAACTCAGAGATACACCTGCCTCTGCCTCCCCGAAACTCAAATTTAAGAATCTTTTAATTTTAAATTCAAGCTGGCTGGGCAGTGGTGGCGCATGCCTTTAATCCCAGCACTTGGGAGGCAGAGGCAGGCGGATTTCTGAGTTCGAGGCCAGCCTGGTCTACAGAGTAAGTTCCAGGACAGCCGAGGCTACACAGAGAAACCCTGTCTCGAAAAAAACCTAAAAAAAAAAAAAAAAAAGTTCAAGCTGAGACCTGAAATTACATTCTTACACTATGTGGGTTCCTATTGCAGCTCACAGGGTTATCTTTATGTAAGAACATGACTGACTTTTCTTTCCAGCAGCCTGCATAGCACCTTCTGGCTCGATGAAATCTAGCCAGCTGGGTGGAAATTCCAAATAAATTCAGACTTCACTTGTCATGTCTTGTCATCAAAATGTATGGTGTCTCCAACACAGGTCTTACCATCAAATTTTGGACGGTGACCAAGGGAGATGGCACTAGCCTGTATTGACTAGAAGGGGTGTCTGGAAACTCCTGACCAACAACTGAAGGGAGGTACCCCACACATAGCACTGAACTCTCTGTCTGATAACCTATGATTTCTGAGAAGACCATAATTCCTCTGCCCTTCCTTCATGGTAACTCCATTCAAACACCCTTAGTGTTAATTATACCTATCCCTACCCCATCCTCTGTCCTACTCTCCCATTCCTCACTATGGGGAGCCAAACTAACCCAAGACTTTCTCAGGGGCCTCGATGAAAGAACAAAAGAACATCAATGGCAAGAATGACAAGGCCACTCTTAGGCTGGAGCTGGTGCCTAGAAGGAATTAAGGTTTTTGTTTTTGAGTACTGGTCTCTTCCAGCTGGGCAGTGGTGTTGGACAATTCTGTGTTCTCTTGGCCAATATTGTCTGACTGAGCTCTCAGCTGACCTTGGTCGGTCCCCTGGATGCTGTGCTTCTTAATAAAGTTGCTTAGCCATCAGCTTATGTAAGACCTCCTGGCTCCCACTATTGCTCTTGTCTTCCTTATTTCTCTCCTCCGTTCTCTCATTTGCACCCCACTGTTCAGGATCCTGACTCCTTTGGGTCTGCATCACCTCACCTCACTCGCCATCTGTGTTCTAATATCTTCCCTTAAGGTCTTCCTTCCCCCTGCCCAGTACTTTCCAGTTTCCTGGGCTTCTATAACCATTTCATGTTAACAACATAAATCTAAAATCCGCATATGGGAGAACATACGACATGTGTCTTTCTGGGTCTGTGTTTCCTCAATCAGAATAATTTTTCCAATTTCATCCATTTATAAGCAAATTTCATAATATTCCATTTGCATTCACTGTCTATTTCATTGGTTGGTGAGTATCTAGGCTGTTCAATTTCATAGCTGTTATAAATACAGTGGGCAATGAACATGGATGAGTATCTCTTTTATAGGAGTCAAGCCTTTCAGGTGTTATGCCCAGAGGTGTTATACCTGGGTTGTGTAGTAGATTGGTTTTTAACTCTGTTTTTAGGAATCTTCATGTTGATTTCCACAGACTATTCCAGTTTGCACTGGCAGTTAAATAACTAATGTCTTTTCCAAGATACTGCAGCTTTCACTTTAAACAGCAATGCTGATGACTTGTAATATTCTTTCAGATGATAAATATTAACTTTATGCACAGCTAGTCATTATAAAGTTTAAGGCAGCACTACCACTTTCTATGCCTGCCTTCACTTGGCTTTGCTTTCCTTGACAGCATTCACAAAGACTCAATCGCACATTTTCTTTTTCCTACTCTTCCCTTTTCTCCTCTAAAATAGAAGCATTATCAAGACATGGGTTTTGTCTGTTTTGTTTCCAATATCTAAATGAACTTCTATAACTCAGAAAGCTTCCAACCAGCTGACCCAAAGAATGAAGCTACCCAGTCTAACTCCCTGAACTTAATGATAAAGGGGACTCTTCCAGTTCAGTATAACAATTCTCTCCAATTCATCACTATTTTATGTTAAACCACAGAGAAAGAACACTTAGTGGATTATTTAGCTTTTCCATTAAACACCCACCATACTAGCTGGTTGTGTGATTACATGTGCCCACATGTAATCTTAGCTCCTGGGAGGCTGAACAAAGAGGATCACCAGTTGGAGACCAGATTGAGCTACCATAAAACCCTGTAATCCTAAAAACAAAAACAAAATTTATCAAGCTCTCTCATATCTTGTCTCTTCATGTGAGTCTTTTTTGACAACTGAGTGTCTGTTTACTATATATAAACTTATATTCAACTTGCTCAAAACAGACCTCTTTTCCAATACCAATCATCTATGTCTCTGTAATTCCGTTTATCACTCACAGGGTTTACACTTAACATGATTGTAACTGATTTTTACTATATCTAGTCTCATTTTCTTCAAAATGTTCATATATATCTTTTCTTCCAACTTCAGAACTGCCATGGCCATCATCTAAGGTTAGTAATTAATTGTCTTATACCTAGATTCTAAAATAGCTTCCTTCTCTCATCTGCTGCTTCACTTTATACTCTGTGAAGGACTTCATGACAGGGAGAACTGTGAAACACAACAAAAGGAGCACTGCTTCTACATAGCAGTGGACAAGGAGAGCAAACGTCAGAGAAAGGAGGAAAGACAAAGGAAACAGAAATCTAACATAGAAAATTCTAGGGAAAATGGTCAAAAAACAAGGCCAGAAGTTAGGTAAATCATGACAAAGTAAACTCTGAAAGAATAAGTGCAGATGATGATAATAAGGAATAAGAGTTAAGACTGATTATAAAATAGTCACCTGAATAAAAGTGTGTGTGTGTATGTGTGTGTATGTATATATGTATGTATGCATGCATGCATGTATGTATATGAATTTGTTTTGGTATTGTACCAATGGCATGAGGGAAGACAGGGAGAAGCAACATGTTGATAACCTAGGTTCTCTTTCTAACCATCACCTTATTATGTGATTAGTTGCCTATATTGAAAAGTTAAAACACCAAAAAAATTAAGCTAAAAGAAACTGTTAACTTTGAGAGAATGGTTGGTAAGTTCCTAAAGATGAAATCTGTAATATAAAGAGATTAAGTCAAAATAAAAAATGATCCAAATATATGTCACAGCATCTTTTATATTCATAAATAAAAGTGACTTTGTCTTACTTTTAAAAATTGATTTTATTTTAAACCATTTTCTTTAAACTCTCTAAAGCTCAATGAAACCTGCAGTCTTAAAAATCATTTTTTCTAGCCTTACCTTGTTCCTCCACCATCAATTGTGAGGATTCGGATTCCTCTGCCTTTGACTGGATCTACATAACCAATTAAGGCCAAAATTTCTCTAACTGCAGCCTGAAGAGTTTCATCCTTAATTTGTCTCAGCCGTAGTAAATATGGAATAATTTTTTCCTACATTGAGAAAAAAGACATTTTGTTACTTATGTCAAACCAAGAAGGAACTGGCATGGTAGCATACTTGTGCAATCCCAACATTAAGAAGACAGATGCAGGATTATCTGTAGTTCAAGACCTGCCTAGGCTAAACAGTGGTATCCTGTCACAAAAATAAAACAAGTATTTTTAGCTGACATGAGTAAATCATAAAATCAAAGTGTGTTTATTACTTCCTCTGTAATTAAAAATGATTACTTTATGACATGCTAATATCAATAACAATTTAGCATATATTTGTCCTAATTTGAAGACAAAAAAATAGCCTCTGTCCAAACATTTTCTTGAAATGTACAGTGTTTGCCGTAGTTTACATCCCTATAATCCCAGCACTAAAGGGTCTAAGTCAGGATTGTGAGTTTGAGGACAGCCTGGGCTACAGAATAAATCCCAGGCCAGCCTGGGTTACACAGCAAGACTGTCTTCAAAAAGAAAAAAAATCCAATACTCAATATAGAAAACAGAATCTCTTAATACAATTAGTAGTAATGTTGATAAAAAGTGTGCATAAATTTAAGGGGAAAGCTAAGTTGTGTAATGTTCAATAAACTGAGTAATTCTCCAGTGTTTTATTCACTTTGCTTCTCTTTCTGATCAGCCACACTGAAATACTATTGTTGTTCTATTTTTTATTATTTGTTTTTTATTTATTGTTGTTCTGTTTGTTTAGCTAGTACTGAGCACTAAAGAAAATCTGAACAATATACAGAAATCTGAACAATAGAAGACATGCTGAGAGCAACTAGAAAAGCCTGAGTGAACACAAGAAGATGCCCTTTAACCCAGCACAGAGCTGCAGAAGTAACCCAACAACAGCTTTCCACCAAGACAAGGGTAATTGCTGTCTAGAAAGCTGATAAACTTGCTGGGCTTGGTTTAGAAGGCCACAAAGGAACAAAGAAGAGTGTTCTCATGGTGGGTGGGGGCTTGACTGTATGGCTGATTTCACCTTGACACACCTGAAGAATTCTCAAAGTGGGATACATGGGAGGGAAAAATGCTAAACTCAAGCTTTCTGAAAAAAAAAAAAAAAAAAAGTTTTGTATTCTTAAGTTTTAGGACCCAAGGCATGGTGGCAGTTTAAGAATACACCCTAAGAACAGGGAAAAGTAGGTGCCTTTCCCAAATTCTACCCATCCTTAACTCGTCTCTGTCCAAACTTACCGAAGATTATAAGTCATTTGAAGAGCAAATTAACTCTCTGGACAAAGAAATCTAGAACTTTTTGAAACTCACAATGCCCAGTATACAGAAAAGTCATGCTGTATGTCAAGTCAGTATCATATAGTCAAACACAAGAGGAAATTCTCCTACTGGAATCACTAAAAGACGTTTAAATCACAGGAACTTTCATAAAATTATACCCCAAAGCATCACATACTTATAAATTATCAAAATAAGCCTAATTAAACATATATAGGCACTCGTATAGAAGAATTTTCAAATACTGAAGGAAAACAAAGAACAAATTGGCCAGGCGGTGGTGGCGCACGCCTTTAATCCTAGCACTTGGGAGGCAGAGGCAGGCGGATTACTGAGTTCAAGGCCAGCCTGGTCTACAGAGTGAGTTCCAGGACAACCAGGGCTACACAGAGAAACCCTGTCTCAAAAAACCAAAAAAAAAAATAAAAAAAAAAAAGAATAGCTAAACTAGCTCCAGCCAGAAGGGATCCAATACCCTTATACAAACATAATGCAAGCATAACACTAATGCACATAAAATAAAAAGACCAAAGATAAAAGACTTACAAGACCAGACATTATAAACCTAAAGTAATTTAAGGAGTACAATGTTGGAGCAAAAAAAGATGTATTAGCAGAACCAAATACTGTATCCAGAAACAAGCTATTTATAAAAATGGACCCATGTATAATTGCCTCATTTATGACAAGTTTTTTTTTTTCCAATAAACGGTCACTTGTTTAACTGGATGTGTGTATTAAGTATCAAATCTTCTGCCTTATAAAGCAAAATCAAATCTATTCTAGATGAGCAATACATATAGGTATGAAAGGCAAAAACATAATTTTAGAAGAAATGCAAAAAAGACTTAGGTTAGTCAGTTTCATTTGTGGGAGGGAGAACTTCATATATGAATTCTGCATCTACATCCTTACATCCTCTCCTCGTCCCTCCCAAACTCATGACCTCTTCTTCTTTGTTGTTGATGGTGGTGATGGCAGTGATGGCATGTGCGCATCTGTGTGTGTGTGTGTGTGTGTGTGTGTGTACACAACCTATTGAGTCCATTAAGCTTTGCCTGAATGTACATGTCCAGGGCAAACCATTTGGGTTTCGACAACTTGTATGGGAGCTCTATCCTGGAGGAAACTGATTCTCCGTCTCAATAGCCAATGACAACCTGTATGTACTACTTCATCTAGAAGTAGAAGCCTATGGAATTTTTCCCACCCACATTAACATTTCAATTGATGTTACCACTATGCCTGTCTAGTTCAGAAAAAAAAGAAAAAATGGTTAAAACAGTGGAAGAAATTGGCTGTGAGTTTGTGGTACATTCTCCCTGTCGTGTCTGGGGACGCAATCCACCACCAAGTATCCTGAATCACTGTCTGTTACAATCTTTCTACCACCACTACTGCAATACTCCTTGCTCCCCTCCACAAAGTTTCTCTGATGAGTGGGTGAGAACTACATTTAGCAGGCAAAATGTGGAAATTCAAATATTTCTTAAATTGAACACATAAATACATATAAACTGGACTAAATTAAAACTAGAAACTAGTGGCCGGGCGGTGGTGGCGCACGCCTTTAATCCCAGCACTTGGGAGGCAGAGGCAGGTGGATCTCTGAGTTTGAGAGTTCGAGGCCAGCCTGGTCTACAGAGTGAGTTCCAGGACAGCCAGGGCTACACAGAGAAACCCTGTCTCAAAAAAAAAAAAAAAACCAAAAAAAAAAAAAAAAAAAGAAACTAGTATCTTTTTTTTTTTTTAAAGTTTGAAAAGGACAGGTAGGTAAGACGTGGTGCCCACACATTCTCCTGGAAAACTTATAACTGAATACAAAAGAACTTTGTCAACCAGTAAAAAAGCTAGTCAACCTCCTACAAAGTGGTACATATCTACAAATCTAGCAGAGGCAGGACAATGACAATGATCAGGCCAGCATGAACTACACAGAAAGTTTAAGGCCTAGGTAAACTTACATGATGAACCTAACTGAAGAATATAAAGAAGAAAAAGAAAAGCTGCTTAAAACAGTGGAAGAAACTGGCAATAAGAAAAGTTTCATTGGGAAAGATCACAGCCAAGCAAAACATGATGCAAACAAGTTCTTCCGTTCCTTGGTTTTAGATTATTATTTAGGGGAAAGGTGATAACTCTTTTCCAACTACCTAGATTTTCATTTCTGACTGATCTAAATAGAATTTCTATACCACAGGATTTGGGATCAGTTCTCAGATACAAGGGAATCCTCAACAGTTCAACTATGATGATTATTCCTAACATACTAGAGCTGCAAACTACCCAGATCTATTATCAGTACTTGCCACACTGAGTAAATTCTATCAATGTGCTGAGGGAAATAAAGCAATCACACAGGGAGCCCAGATTAACCTTTTCTGCAGACTGAGAGGTAGAAGAAAATCTTCTAGGGCACTGGTGATGTTCTGTTTGCTTCTGTGCTGAGTCTGTGCACTTCACTTGACAGTTACAAAAGTACCTATGTTATTCTTGCATAAGATGCTGTTAAATCATTCTTTAAATCATATGCTATGTCTGAATGCTAGGTCTCTTGTAAAGTTCATGTTGGAACTTAGTTCCTAGTACAATATTAAACAGTAAGGTCTTTCGGGATGTACTTAGGACAGAAGACCTCTGCCCCATATACAGAGACTCTGAAATGAGCCGCTGTGTTGTTTCTTCTGCTGTGTGACTGAGTCACAAGCTGCAGCATATACCCATCAAACCTGCACCAGACACCAGACCTGCCAGCACCTTCCCTGTGCCTCTAAGTATGTACATTTGAGAAACAGACTTCTGTTAGGTACAACCTAACCTATCCAGTGTAAGGCATTTTGTTACAGCAACTTGGAAGATTAAAGCAGTAATTGTATTTTAGATCTCTCCTTTCTAGCTATCCATGACATGAACATTATCCTTAAAAGCACATGTGTATTTCAAAAACATATCCTCAAAATACATCAATATTTGAAAGATAAATCTCAAACTTCAGGAATATGAAATATTTAAGCTCTGAATGTCTGTGTTATACAGTATAAAACTATTGAAGGGTAAATTTACAAGAAATAGTTTTCAACAAGACAGATATCAATGGTAGAGAAAGTATGAATTAACAACTTTCTGAGTGGTAGGTTAAAAAAAAGCACTAAGTGAATTTTAATGAAATGGTAACAATATCATATAGTATTTCCAGATTATTAAGTATACAAGTAAACTTAGCATAGATAAAGAGGCTCACCTTCTTTAGTCACTTAGCTTCTCTTTAAATGGTGTATTTAATGAAGTCTAAACTTTGTTCACTACTGTATACATAAAATACTGAAGCAAGGAGTGCTAATTGCTTTATCAATTAATTATTTGTTCAAATTTTTAGACTTTGAATGTAAAAAGACTATGGTGGGATTATAAAATAAACACTAGCAATGGCTTTCCACATTATGTTTCCTGTCTTTTGTTTTTAGACAGAATCTTGCTAAACAGCCTAGGCTGATATCACACTTATGATCCAAATACTGGGATTAAATACCACATCTGGCTATTTCTTATCTTGAAAAGTGGTATCATAGTAAAAGAGCTGCACTGCAATTAAGAATTTGACAATTATGAAGCAATGCAACTAACAAACTTATGATCCACTTTTACATAGGCCCAGCTCAAAGTATATTCATGATAATAGCAGAATTTATATCACAGAACAAAAGGAACTCTTAAGCCTAATGTGCAGCATAAGAGAATTCCTGAATATATATTGTATGATTTAAAAGAACAAAAATTTTCAAATAAAAAAGGCTTTGCATTCCCCACTTTAAGAAGTTTATCTGAATGTTTATTTCAAGACAAATATTAAATAAATTACAAATTACCTTGACAGCCACTCCTTTTCCTTCAGGAAATTCTAGAAGATGAAAAGTCAGTTCTTCAACCCTAGTAATACAGAGCTTTGGGTCGGTTGTTCTTCTTAAGGCCTGAACTAAGGCTCGAGTTCTGTTATCAATACTCACTCTTGCAATAATCTGTAAGGTCATATGAAAGGTGATTAGAAGATGGAGTTACTCTACAAATGGTTAACATTTGTTAAGCCCACACTGAAAAACAACTTGCCTTTTCTCGCTGAAGTAAAACCCGCTTTTTCTCCTCTGCCTTCTTGTCTTTGCAGACAGCTTGCTCAGGTTTAGCAGGCTCTTCCTGTTCTTCTGGCTGACTCTTGGGATCAGATTTTAATTTGGGTACAAGTCCACCAATGTAACCACCGACTAAGGCTTGTACGCCTTCAGTGGGACGAGAAAGGAAGTTAGCAATACTTTGTTTTGCAGACACTGGGTGAACCTCAGGCATCTGGGTAGGGCTGGAAAGTTTGTCTTCATCATCTGGGGGAGATCCTGAGTCTGGCCCGTCTGTCAAGATGTCAGGATCAGGAGAACGGGATTTCCTTTCTTCAAGGCCTGGTTTGTCCTGAAGCTGTTTATCTTCCTTTGTTTGAGACATTTTTTCCTTGTTTTTGAAGTATGAATTAATATGATTTGCTAAAAAGTGGAATGATTCTCCAAATCTGGTGGTTATACCGTATGTGTAATGGAAAAGGCTGTGTTTACCTGAATCTTCTTCTTTATCTGCAAAGTAACTTTTCTGTTCTGCAAAAGAATTCTTTTCTGCTGATTTATCACTATAGTTTTTCAGAGATTCGATGGCTTGCTTAATATTTTTTTGTTTTAACCATCCCCTATCTGATACTTTTCTTAATATTCGAGAACTTGATTTAAATTGAGCTAACCGTGAAACCATTTCATTTTGACTGCCAAAAATAGCCTTTGAAACTGAATTCAAAGTACTTTTAATACGGGACATATGAACGCTCACTTTTGTAAGTCCCTTGGGAGCAGAAGTGCTAAGTTTTACAATTCCAATATGTAAGCCATGGTTGCTTGCAGTGTGCCAGTGTGTGCTGCAATGTGCTTCACTTCTGTTCCATTTACAGCTTTTCTTACTTGTGTGAAACTCTCTGTGCACATTGACATGGTTCATACACCAATGCTGTTTAGAACAAACCAGATGCAACTGTTTGCTTCTCTGTTTCCCACAAAGACTTCTTGCATTATTAAGGAAGTAAATATATATATCTAGAGTCAAATTAATAGACATAACTTAAAAAATCATTTATTTTCTATGTGACATTCTCTCATTCCACTCTTGAATGCTTCATTTAAGAAATTCCATAATTCATGGTCTTACCTGAAAGAGTTTAAAAAAAAGATTAATTAGCATTCAAGTTACAAATCAAAGCTGAGTTAATACATATGACTTTGTACCACAGCAACAGACCCTCTCAATGATTTGAAGCTGGAGAGGTGGTTCCGCAGTAAAGAGAGCACTTGTTGCTCTTGTTAGAAGACTGGGTTCAGCTCCCAGTTCACAGCCCAGTCTTCCCCAGTTCCAGAGGGTCAGGTGCCCTTTCCAAGTCTCCAAGGGCACTGCTCAAATATATCAGACAGATATATATGCAGGGAAAACACTCAAACACATAAAAAAAAACAATACATGAAAATTATAAAAGATGGTCTACTGTATTTCCAAAATGCTGATAAGATGAATCCAGTGTTTGTCAATTTTTCCTCAGAAAAAAATTTAGGACAAGGGTAGAAAGCAACCAATTTTTCTGTCAGAATATCACAAGAATGTTCTAAATGCCAGCTGTTAATATTACTTTCTTTTGAAACTTGTTGAATTGAGCCTCCAGAATCAACATTGCTCTTGGAGAGGGGGAAGGGAAGTGGGAAGGGGAGGGGGAGAAGAGAGATGAGGAGTTGAGTTTCCATAAGACTGGGTTTTAAACAAGCCTGTAGGGCATTTTCTCAGTGACTGATGAAAGAGGACCCAGTCTATTGTAGGTGGTGCCATCCCTGGACTGGTGTTCCTGGGTTCTATAAGAAACCAGGCAGATGATGTGGATGTCAGGAAGTGCATGCTGACAGGAGCCTGATATAGCTGTCTCCTTAGAGGTCTGCCAGAGTCTGACATATTCAGAGGCAGATGCTCACAGCTAACCATTGAACTGATCATGGAGTTCCCAATGTAGGATTTAGAGAGTCTGACATATTCAGAGGCAGATGCTCACAGCTAACCATTGAACTGATCATGGAGTTCCCAATGTAGGATTTAGAGAGAAGACTGAAGGAGCGGAAAGGGTTTGCTGTCCCAAGAGGAGCGCAACAATACCAACTAAGCAGAGCTCCCTGCATCTAAACCACCAGCCTGGGAGCACATAGGGAGGGACCCAAGACTCCAGCTGTATATGTAGGGGAGGATGGCCTTGTCGGGCATAGGTGAGAAAAGAGATCCTTGGTCCCATGAAGGCTTGATGCCCAGTGTGTGTGTGTGTGTGTGTGTGTGTGTGTGTGTGTGTGTGTGTGTGGCGATTCAAGAGTAAGGAGGTGGGGGTGGGTGGGGTCACATCCTTATAGAAGCAGAAGGGAGGGTGGGATAGGGAGTTTCTGGGTGGGAGGGGAAGTGGGGAAAAGGGATAACATCTGAAATGTAAATAAAATATCCAATAAAAAAGAAGAGAGAGAGAGAGAAAACAGGCTGAATAAGCCATGATAAAAAAGCTGGTAAGCAGCATCCCTACCCCTACTCCAGCTTCTGCATCAGCTCCTGCCTCCTGCCCTGTTTGAGTTCCTATCCGGACTTCTTTTGATGATGAACAGTTGAAATGGGAGTAAGCAGCCGGGCAGTGGCACACGCCTTTAATCCCAGCACTTGGGAGGCAGAGGCAGGCGGATTTCTGAATTCAAGGCCAGCCTGGTCTACAGAGTGAGTTCCAGGACAGCCTGGGCTAAAAGAAAAAGAAAAAAAGAAATGGGAGTAAGCCAAATAGACCCTTTCTGCCCTATGGTGCCATAGAAACTCTAAGACAGTCCTAGTTCTGCATATACTGTTTATTTTCCTGAAATTTTAATCAGTTATTCAATAGCAAATAGGAGCCAATAGTCATCTAAACAAACAGACATCTGACTATATCTACGATGATATCTAACTAGTAAGAGTTTCCCAGAGCCTTTAATTTGTAATACAACAATCTGCTGTTAATATCAACAGCAGATCGAATTGGTTGGCATCAGTATTTTTCCCCTTCTTAGCGAGAAGTTTTGTCATTAGAGCTTTAAGGGTCCAGTAGAGTATCTTTTTATTTTTACTTTCATATTTATTTTATTTGAGGTATATGTGAGTTTTCCCTGCATGTATGCATATGCAACACCCGAATTTCTGGTGCCCGAGGAGTTGAGAAGAGGGCATGAAGCCCCCTGAATCTGGAGTTACTGATGGTCATGAACCACCACATGGGTTCTAGGAGCTGATTCTAGGTCATCAATAAGAGCAACAACTGCCTAAGCCAACTGCTGAGCCATCTCTTTCCTTCTTTTTTGTTTGTTGTTTTGGTTTTTTTGTTTTGTTTTGTTTGTTTTTTGAGACAGGGTTTCTCCGTGTAGCTCTGGCTGTCCTGGATCTCACTCTGTAGACCAGGCCGGCCTCGAACTCATAAATCCACCTGCCTCTGCCTCCCAAGTGCTGGGATTAAAGGTGTGTGCCACCACTGCTTGGCCTGAGCCATCTCTTTCTTTTGGAATATCTAAAATAAGACTGTCAATTTAAAAATTGCTGAAACATGATAGAAAAGAGGATTCTTTGATGAAAGTAGTGAAGAACAAAACTTTAAACATAAAGGTTTGGTTTAAAGAAGTAAAATATCTGGGCAAGCAAACAGTTATCAGAAACCATGATCACTAAGACATAACAGCAGCACCCTAGTTTTGCTATTGCCAGAAATAGCACTGCTTTTTTGTTTGTTTTCATTCAGGAAAATATACCAAAGGAATGCTAAGTATCTCAGACAATGTTTAAAGAATACAAAAAGGTCTTATTCACTGACCAATGTCTCCAGTACCCAGTCTTTTGTATCCAGACCAAAAGGAATCACGTTGTACCTTTTTAAATTAACTTTAACACCCTAGTTTTAGCCCACTTTCATTTAATTCTTCGTATTTTGTCAGCTCACTTGGAAAAGTCAAACTTCTGAAAATTTAAATGTATACTTAAAAGTCCCTTGTAATAATGTATACTTCCCGTTAGCAAAGACGACTCACTCATACAGTATTTTTCATAAGAAAACTAATGTTTTCCCAAAGGTATAAATCTTAGACTGAAATTAATATCTTTAATTAGGGAAGTCAAAAGCTTTAGTCAATTCTGACAATTAAAATTTCTATAGAGGCATTTGTTGGTACAACTAATCCAAAAACTGAAAAATAAACACACTAAAATGTATAATAGGCTGTTTTTCAACAGAGTTGTGTAGCAAAGGGGGTGGGGGGAACTCAGGGTAGCCAACAGAAAGGTCCCAGACGCCAGGAAATCAAGAGGCTCCCAGGACCCAACAGGGATGACATTAGCTGAAATACCCAACAAAGAAGAGAGAGAACCTGGAGACCATACCTAGAGGTTAAGCATAGTCCCTGGTTGAGAGATGAGGTAACCCACCCTTCTCAAAAATTTTAACCCAGAACTGCTCCTGTATAAAGGATATACAGGGACAAAGAGTGGAGCAGAGACTGAAGGAAAAGGCCACCCAGAGACTGCCCCACCTGGTGAATCCATCCCATAATGCAACCACCAAACTCAGTCACTATTGCTGGTGTCAAGAAGTTAGTTCTTGCTGACAGGAGCCTGATATAGCTGTCTCCTGAGAGGCTCTGCCAGAACCTGACAAATACAGATGCAGATACTTGCAGCCAACCATAAGACTGAACTGAGCACAGGGACCCCAATGGAGGAGTTAGAGAAAGGACTGAAGGAGATGAAGGGGTTTGCAACCTCATAGGAAGAACAACAATATCAACCAACCAGACCACCCCACCTGGCCCCTAGATCTCCCAGGGACTAAATCACCAAAGAAAACACATGGAGGGACTGATGGCTCCAGCTGTATATGAGGATGGCCTTATCTAGCATCAGTGGGAGGGCAGGCCCTTGGTCTTGTGAAAGCTTGAAGCCCCAGCATAGGGGAATGCTAGGGCAGTGAGGCAGGAGTGGGTTGGTGGGTGTGGGAGCAGCTCTATAGAAGGAGGGGGGAGGAGGGGAGGATAGAGGGTTTGGGGGGAGGGAACTGGGAAGGGGAATAACATTTGAAATGTAAATAAATAATCAAAAAATTACAAATTAAAAATAAACTCACATGTAAAGATGAGAATTCTAAATAATGTTAACACACACACACACAAACACACACACACAAAATTAAAAAGCATGCAACAAAGCAAAAAAATTACATTCCCAGAGTCCAAACAATGCAGTTTTACTCAGGATGTAGCTTATGTAAGGGAGCAGTAGAGAATTCTACTGAGAAAATCAAAACAACAGTTTTGCAAGCTCTATGCAAAGGAGGGAAATGTCTGAACTAAAATCCTTTCTATATTGTAGGTTGACACATTATTTTAATACACTCACCTATACAGAGGAAGCACAGTAAGGACACAAGCCTGTCAGCCTTCCTGGCTCTTCTGAGTTTCTCAGGACTTGCAGTGAATGTGATTATGTTTAGTCAGCATAAAACTGGCAACTTCTACCACACAGAAATACTTGATAAAGTACATGTAAATGCTGTGGAAAAGGAATGTAGTTCAACTGGCAGAATACTTACCTAGCATGCAGAAAGCCCTGAGTTCCATCTACATAAACCAGCATTAACAAAAGCCATGTTTAAGACCAGTATCTATAGTCTCATTACCATCATAGCACTGATGCCCTATGCAAATGAATACTGGTTTGGGCTAGTTAATACATGGAATTTCAGAAGAGTCAGCTAAAACTCCAAGGCAAAGTCACTGTCCAATGTTAGGCAATGGGCAACCACCACTGAACATTAACTCAGAAAGATTACAAAACAAGCCATGAAATGAACTATCACCTAGAGATCTGCACCTTGGTTGCAATAGGAAAATATGCAACCAAGCTTTAGAAATAGCACAGAATTAAGAAAGGCTAAATGTCCAAAGATAACAGGAGGAATAAAGATACTAGAATCAAAAAGAAAAACTAAGATGAAAGAGTAAAGAAGAATTCTAAAATGTTAAAAATTAATACTCCTGGCTACCAACTAGCTCTGAAATATACCTATAACCTATTGATAAGGATTGAGAGAAGTTTGGGAATGATACCCTAAATAATGAAAAATAAAA